AGCTGTTCTTCTAAGCATCAACAGATAGAAGGATATGTATCTATCTCCACAAATGCTGTATAGAAAAGCATAAAATTTGATGTATTGTAAATCATGACATTCATAGTAGTTCCCGGTCTTGAGACTCCTCTTTTTCTTCAAGTTTGTAGTGTCCTTACTTGGGCTTAGCTGCAGGTTTTGAAGAAGCAGGATCAGAGAATGGCTCCAGGCAATCTGCCCATTTCCAATCCTATAACTGACAGCCTTGTTTGAAAGAAAGGAAAAACACAATGTGCAATGCATGACAGAATAGTGACACAATATTTAGATAGTTATACGTAGACCAGCCAACCATTCCTAGGGCCTTCTTACTTCAGAACAATGGCAAATGAAGTTCAACACATCTGGATACTGGATACCTAGATAAAACGGGTTAGGAATTGCTAGGCTGAAGGCAATTTTCCTTTGAATTTATCAGAAGGACACTCTTTAGGCAAGGATACTCATAAAGTTCCATTAATAAGTACCAAGAGGATTTCAAGTGCTGAAATAGTCAATAGACATGGCATTTGGAGCTCACAGGTTCAGACTCTGACTTTTCACCTATGACTTCTTTTCCAATTATGAACTATTTCCCTGAGACATGATCATCATTTTGCAGGGAAAACTGGTTGGATTTGGGTATGATATAACATGGCCAGGGGGTCACATGATTGCTTTTATCTTCTGGGGAATGTAAGCGGGGGAGGGAATTATCTAGTTTGGGAAATCCAACATGGCCCCTCCCAATAATAAGCAGAGAAACAATTTCTTTACCAAAAGGGGAAAGTCCATAGTGAATATTGGAGGAAAGCATCATGATCAGTGAGTGATAACAAGTCATACACCTTGCTATGGAATCCTCTCTATGGCTAACATTCATTTCTAGACTTATTTTACAACGGGAGCAATGTAGACAGTTATTTCTTACATTATGCTCCAGGGTTTTGGTAGTGGTTTTTTTTTCCTGACATGAATGCCAAAAAAAAATCAATAACATTTCTGGGAGTAAAAGTGATGTTTGTTTGAAACATTATAAAAAGTGTTTTGTGGAATACAGGTGTCATCAATATGAAAGTAAAAAATTGTGTTCAGCCAAATTGATGCAACACCGACATAGTCCTGAGAACTAAGTCTTGAAACCCATGTCAGTAAATGCAAAACCTCTGAAATGGTCATAATTTATACATTGTGAGTCTTGAATAAGTTTGCTTTTGACTTTAGAGGGACTTGCTATGACAAAGTTTGAAAATCATGGATTAGACAGAGATAGATAGCTAGTACGAGGAACATCATGCAATGCTATAAAATCCAACTGTTTCCCATTAAGCAGTTCTTGTCTGGTGATTCACAACAGAAAACACTACAGGGATCTTTAACAGACCTTGTCATTAACATCTAGGCTAGTTGGCTTCTCTCCTCCTTGACTCATTGCCATACAGTGGTAAATCCATTTGTCACTTTACATTTCCACTGCACTATAAATCAAATAATAGCTCTGTCGTTGTATGCAAGAAGATTAAGTAGATGATCTTCAAACACCTGGTAGACAATAATTGAGACAATTATTTCTTTCTAATTAAAAGTGAATAGGCAAATTGCAGGTGGTCTTCCATGGCCTGCTGTATCAATGCAATCTTTGCACAAGTTGCTTAGAGTACTTAAAAAGTTAAAATGTATACACTATGGATCTCTCTAGCTGGCACGTTATAGCTGTAATATGAAATGTAACTTCCAAATAACCATTATCTCTCTCAGCCTGGTTCCTTGAGAACTATCTCCAGTTCTCAAGGAAAGAATGATGCTTACTAGTTAGGTTTATGGTAGCCCACTTCCTTATTTTTGACAGAAGATGGGCAACATGTGGGCCATATGTGGCTACTCCAACCTCATTTTTCCTTCCCTTAGAGCCCCCAAGGTTGTAACACTGAATTTCATCAACATTTTTTTTACAGTAGGGGAAGGAGCAAAATAGTTGTATTAACCCTCCGGTGGAGGGGGGGGGGGGGGAGGAAATAACACATTTATTGAGCATTAAAAAACATAATCAACTCTAATAAAGCCTGTTTCTTTCATTCTTCAAAATCAGGCTGAACGTTTCTAGTGTCATAGTGTTATTGGTCACAATCCTTGTAGCCTCCGTAGACAAAATAATAATAAAAGTATGGTCCCTACATCAGAAAAGCCCTGGCTCAGCTCTCTTCCAAACTCATTATTACTCACTGTGAATACCTCTTTTCCATTCCATGTACCAGCTCTCCAAATGAGCTCAGGAGGCAGAATTTGCCAGCAGCTAGAATGGCAGAATATTTATTAATCAGAATTATTTATTATTACTAAGTAAGATGCAGCACAACATCTCCATGGAGACCCAAATACCGTGAATAAGAGTGAACTCACCAGGTTGCTGACTCAGCCCTGCTTGCTCCCTCTGGAGTTATTCAGAGATTGTGACCATTGAAAACAACAGTCCATCACACTCTTAAGCTCGTATAAATCCCACTGATTTTGAGGTTTAAACTTTTAAAACTATGAGATAGCGTATGCTCAGAATCCCAACCTAATCTCCTTTATGCAAAAATGGATATGAAATGCATTTCTATCCATTTGCAATGAAGCTCTGCCTGAGTCTGAGAAATCAGGGGAGGGGTATTTGTAAATATTTATGAGAGCCGGCATTGTCAAAAATGCTATTTTCCTCCATGACTGATGCCAGTCTCCTTCCTGGATTATTTGCCAATCATTTCTAAGGCTGTTGGTCTACTTCCAAGTATGTGGTGGTATGGTTTGATGTGGAATCTAAGTTATGCCCAACTCCGATAAGACTTGATACATTTTGGAGTGTTGTGGCATTTCATAACAACTGTGCAGATATAATAATGGGAGAGCAGAGAATTCACTACTGTATCCACAAAAACTATTGCCAGACATTTTAGGGCTGCTATAACAAAGCCCAAATGCCATTGAGACTGCAGAGTGAGAAAAAAACTTTCACAGTGGAAAATATAAGCTAGCACCCAGCAGTAATTGGCTTGCTGACGATCCAGGTTCCCCCAGCCGTGTACCAGTGTGTCAGTACTTTTACACCAGAGAAATATAGTCCTGGGTCTTCTTAAATGAAAGCGTCTTACAGCCTTTAAGCCCTACAATTTTCATTTGGTTTGACTGCTCCATTGTCTTCTCTGTAGCCACTTAGTAACACTGTGCCATAATGGACAGGTGAATTCTCTGCTGCAATCCTGCTCTCCTCACTCCACTCCTCCTTCCACCACTAAATGCTTTTCTTTCCTCCCAGCCTTCCTCCAGCTAACCAGAGGCAGATACTTGCAGAATGCTGGCCTGTTTTTGTCTTCCTTTCAAACTTTTTCCTCCTGGCTTTTCCCAAGACTGCGGGCGGCCAATTAGGGTGTGGGTGAAAGGGAGGGGCTTCCTTTCCCCCCTGCCCAGCCTCCTTTTCCCCCCACTGTCACTTCACTCCTCCACCTCCTGCCATGTGCACTAGCCTCATGTACTTTGCTGCTCCGAATCAAACCTGGCTGATAAGTTGCTTGAATGGCACCCAGGATATGGGAAGCAGAAGCTTTGGGTAATTGCATCCTTCTGCTATGATTCTGTAAGCTCTTATTTCCAGAAGGGAGACAGTCCCTGTGCTAATCTACAGCTCTCTGTCCCCAGGGCTTAAAGTAGTCTGTTTCAGAGGAAGAGGAAACACCCTGTCTTTTATATTCAGTGGGCTTCTAAGCAGCCAAGCTTTGAATTATTTTGTGCTTGTTTTTCTTTTCCCATTGCCCATTCAACAATGTTTAATAATGGTTAGAATATTTCAGGCTGGCAGGCCCTCATTCTTTTTCCATTTCCTCAAAACTGTTTGGAAGACAGTGATAAGATGTAGAAGAACATTTCTCGGAGGGCGTGAGATAAAAGAGTCTGAAGCAATGGAAGTTTGAAACCTGGGCTCCTAATTTCTGCTTCTAAATGCATGATTACTTTTTGTTTTAGGAACTGCACTGAGCTAACTTGCAGCTCTGATATTCTAGCTAATTACTGCAACCCCAAGGAAAAGAAAGACCACTAATAATTGCCTTTGTAGATGCAGAAATGGGTCCAGTTTCTTTCTGCCTCATTATTATTGATGGTTATGCCAACATAAACCTGGGCTTTAGGTGCGGCATGATGACGGGCGTAGATTAATCTTGGTCAATGGAGTTGGTGAAGCAAATTCCTTTTATGAGTGCTATAATCCTTTGATCAGTGTACTTCAAGATTTAATGGAACCAATATGTTATAAGTTTCCAATAAAGTAAAATAAAAGGTGTCCTTCCTCTAGATATACCCAAAGAAGATAAAGGTCCATCAGTCCTATAAACCCAACAACACTACTCAGTGCATTCCTTAGGATAGACAGTGCTACAATTCCATACTTAATTTCAAAGATGTGATGTGGAAGCTTAACTTCCATACCATTAGATGTATCCCCTAGATATCTCTGGTGGAGAAGATTTGTGAGGTCACTGTAATTGCTTTTCTAGAGCTTTTAACTCTGACCTCCATAGAATGAGTAAAGCATATGGTCAGGGAATAGGGGTTGTAGCTGTAAGTTCACCAGTACTCCTGTTCATATTTCTGAGCTATCCAAATGAAATTATTTATAACTTGGCAGGGAAACAATTTAATTGCCCATTTTAATTTTATCTGGACAAAGTGTTGATTTCCTCTGATGCTCCCCACCCATTCCTCCCATTATTTAACATCACTGAGCCATCTCAGCTCAATAACAGATAAAAGTGTCATGATTGCAGCTGCTCTGAAAACTCAGCGCGGATTTCACTTCTCCTGCCAACAACCTTTTACAAATTTATCCTCTCTCTCTCTCTCTCTTTCTTTCTCTCTTTCTTTTTTCCTTGTTCTGTCACATTCTTTCTGAATTTTCACCCTTCCCCTTTTACCCAAACATCCTTTCCTCCCTTACATCCCCTCCCTAGTATTCGTTTGCCCAGGGACGCTGCACAAGATCCTGGAACCTACCTCGGCCCATGAATCAGAGCACCAGTCTGGAGCTTGGTGCAAGGATCCTCTTCAAGCTGGAGACCGAATATATGTCATGCCTTGGATCCCATACAGGACAGACACCTTGACAGAGTATGCTTCATGGGAAGACTATGTAAGTGCCCGGCATACCACCACATATCGCTTACCCAACAGAGTCGATGGCACCGGCTTTGTGGTGTACGATGGAGCAGTCTTCTACAATAAAGAGCGGACACGCAATATTATCAAGTATGATCTGCGGACACGGATTAAAAGTGGAGAAACGGTTATCAATACAGCCAACTATCATGACACTTCACCCTACCGCTGGGGTGGCAAGACTGACATTGACTTGGCTGTTGATGAAAATGGGCTATGGGTCATTTATGCCACTGAAAGCAACAATGGACGGTTAGTGGTAAGCCAGCTCAATCCTTACACTCTACGCTTTGAAGGCACATGGGAAACTGGCTATGACAAACGCTCGGCATCCAATGCTTTCATGGTGTGTGGAGTCCTCTATGTGGTACGGACAGTCTACGTGGATGACGACAGTGAGGCCGCAGGGAACCGTGTCGACTATGCCTTCAATACTAACATGAATCGTGAAGAACCAATCTCTCTGACCTTTCCTAATCCTTACCAGTTCATCTCTTCCATTGACTATAACCCCCGTGATAATCAGCTTTATGTATGGAATAATTATTTTGTTCTGCGTTACTCTCTTGAGTTTGGTCCACCTGATCCTAGCACTGGTGAGCTATCATCCTAAGATAAAAGTTTGGGTGGGGAAGAAAAAGGAGTTGTCAGTGTTTGGAAATTGTGAATGCTTGATATTTGTTCCAATGTTTACAGTATTGATAAAAATATTTGGGGACAAAAATAATGAGTCAACTTGCAGAGATGTGATGTTCTTAATTATACAATGTGGCACATAGACCTTAAATTATTTTTTAAAAAATAGATTCTTTAATGTGTATTTTATACCAACTTTCTTTAAACCAGTGCCCTCCAACTGGGTTGGACCACTAGAATTATTATATGCCTTTTGGCTGAAAATTCTGGGGTTTGTAGGCGAATACATCTGGAGAGCATCAGGTTACAGATGACTTTTTACACTAAATCTCATATATCACCAGTCCCCCGTTGCATATGAATTAGGATTGTTATCTTTTGACTTGAGCTAAATATCTTTTGACAGCTATCTCTTGACTTGAGCTAAATTAGATAAAACAAACATATATTTTACATATTCTACAAGGCAACTCAGCTCCTACTATTTGATGTGAAGGACAATAATCACATTTCAAGAAATTTTTGAACATGTATAGGCAATATCACCTTAAAAAGAAAGGCTTAAATTTTTGCACTGACATCTAAAATATTTTTAATTTTGCTACTTGCTGCAAGCAGTTCTTCAGGCTCCAGTCAAATAGTAAGTATTGGAAAGTTTTATTCACCTCAATTCAAACTCCCTATGACCCCAACAGAGTCAGCATGTGCCTGAAGTTCTGACAGTTAACATCACATGGAGTTTAAATTGAGAGATGGATTGTCTGATGTTCAGTATTTGGCAGAAGCCTAGAGGCTACAAAAATAATTCCTTAAAGCTGGGCAGAAGGAGAAAAATTCAGTTTACTTTTGAATAAAAGAGGTTCAAGATTAGTCATGCTCTGGTATAGGGCCAGATTAAGATCTGTTTATCCCAATATACCACTAATTTGTTTTTCATACATTCTCCATTCATCCCAGTGGCACAGCTTGTGTCTGAATGGTATTTGAAACTGAGCATTTCCACAGTTAATATCCCCATGCTGTGGCTGGATGAATGGGATTTAGCCTTAGTGAGAATAATGGATCAGTTGTATCTATAGGAGTCACACGCATATTTTTAGAAGGGATGGGACAGAATGAAGCTTACCTTTACTTAAATTAGCACTAAATGCTACAGTTTGCTATATTTTAAAATTAAAAATGATTTCAGTGTGAAGACATGGCTTGTATTTCCTAAGAAAGATCTGACAGAAGATGTCATAAATGGTATGTGGGCTTAAAAGGATATGAGGAAGCTGATCCAGATTAACCATTTTAGATAGACTGAAATGAAAAAGTAATATAACTTGGAAATTTGTTGAATTTTTGCCATTTATATCATCTACACAGGGAAGATCCAGACACACTGGGAATATAGGAATATACTGTATACCACGTCTCATGGAATATTTGTTTAGCAGTAAAACAAGGGTCAAAAATATTGGGCTGGAATCAATAGAAAGGAGGAAAGAATACATATAATTCTTTTGGTATCATTAGCTCCTTTTCAGAATATTCTGCATTGGAACATTTAGTAATCACTATCTCCCCTTTTAAAAAAAAATATTTTTGCAACCATGGCAACTAGAATTTGTGATGCTAAAGAAAATCTGGGACTCTTTATAACCTGGAGAACTGCATCTTTTGTTACAAATGTGATCGTGATTAAATGGTGATTCCATGCAATGAGATTTTCTGGCTAGAATAAATAATACTGTGGTGAGAACTCAGCGAGGGAAGATATGTTTTACATGTGCAAAGTTTTAAGTGCAGCCCCTGATATTTTCAGGGTCAAGGATCTGAAATAGCAATACAGGGCAAGAAAAGACTCTGCTGGAGATTTTAGGGATCCCCTGCAAATCAAGATGTACCATAAGATTGGATCAATGCAAAAGCAACATCAACGAAAATGGAGTTGTAATAAGCATAGGCATTTTTAAGAATTAAAATTTTACAACTGAAGACCTGAATGGGAAGGGAGGGATATTTTGTTTTTGGGAAGAATTGCTTGTCCTCAACTGTCTCTCTGCCTACAGGCCCAGTCACCTCAACACCACTCAGCACGACAACCACTATTCGTCCCACCACTGTCACCAGCACAATATCGCCTGCTGTTACAACCACTCGACAGCCACCCCTTACAACCCACCCTATAGGTGCCATAAATCAGAAGGGTACAGAACTGCACACAGTCACTGCCATAATGCCCAGTACCCGCCGCCCACCAGCAAACAACCAGCACATCTTTCCAGAACTCTTCTGTGAAGCAAAGGAGGTGAGGCGTGTCCAGTGGCCAGCCACACAACAAGGCATGCTGGTGGAAAGGCCTTGCCCAAAGGGCACGAGAGGTAAAAATAAGCAGCTTCACCAGGGGTAACCTTAGGCAAATTGCTCTAGTCTTTATTGCAGAGGTGAATGCCTTTGGATGCTTACCAGATCCAAATGAAAGAATCGGGGGTCCAGGCAGTGTGTAGTTCTTCCATTAGCCAATGCTAAAAGTCGTAGTGCTATCCTTGAAGTGGCAAAACCCTGTATTGGAATGAAATCTGCTGACCTTATTCCTGTTTCTCAACTTGCCTTTCTATGGCAATTACCTGATTTCAGTCTTCATGTACCTTCAGGCTGTCTTTGGACACCTTTGAGCTCTTGGTGTAGCTCTTCATTGTGAGCTTGGGATGAGGTGAAAACAGCAATATGAAGATGTAGCTGGATAAAGATGCTGCTGGAGCATATTTGTATTGTAATTAAGGGCAATGTACCTGGCGAAGCCAGCTCCGGACAAGCTTAATGATGCTTCTTCATAGACCTTTAACAGTGGGTTGCTTTTGTAGTGGGCATAGATAGGGATGAGAGGCTGAAGCCACAACTGACATTGCTTAACAAGTCTTTCTTGCTGTCCCACCCACAGGTATTGCTTCTTTCCAATGCCTTGCTACTCTTGGTATTTGGAACCCACGAGGGCCTGATCTCAGCAACTGCACAAGTCCTTGGGTCAACCAGGTGGCCCAAAAGGTATCATTTTCTTCCCAGAAGTTCTTCCCACCCTCTAGTTGTTAATCAGACAATTCATCTTCACAATGGGTATCAGGCTTCTTCACGCCTGCATAACTCTTTTGCTGGCTTGAGGTAGTCTTATGTTTCTTTCCTCTTGACAGATCAAGAGTGGAGAGAACGCAGCCAATATTGCTACCGAGCTTGCCCGACATACGCGTGGTGCCATCTACGCTGGAGATGTTAGTTCCTCTGTCAAATTAATGGAGCAGCTCTTAGATATCTTGGATGCTCAGCTGCAGGCCCTGCGTCCAATAGAGAGGGAGTCAGCTGGCAAAAACTACAACAAGGTGCATGGTGATATGTTAACTGGGAGGCTGTTCTCAGCAGGTTGTGTGTCCTGATCTTATATCTCACTTTCCTGGGCTGTTGAAACAGAATAGCAATTTGACATAAACCTTTTAGCAACCTAGATCCAGTGGTTGGAAAAATATGGTGTTAAACTTCTGAATGGGTTTTTTTTTCTTTTTGCCTTACAATAAACAACAACAAATTTAGTTTTCCATGCCTCCTGATTATTACCCTTGATATGAGAATAGTTATGAAGAAATATCTTTAGATAGCTAATTTTGCGGTACAGTCTACCAGATGCTGTTGCTATATAAAGACTCTGGTCATATTCATTGGTTTTCCTATAGGATTCTATATTAGCTCTGATGATAACAATCCAGAATGTTTCAATAATGGTCGATCATGTGAATGCATTCAAAGAAGAGATAATGTGTTATTGAGTTAATATAACCCAATCCTATGTAAATGTCTAGGATTACAACCTGACAATTCTGGTGATAATTTTGAATTCGGACCTGAAAGCATAAATCAAAAACTGATCAAATGCACAGTGCGAGGAAATTAAAAAAGGGAAAAAAGGGATACAATTGTCAAATTCAGCCTGTCTCTTTGAATAACAAACAACCAGTAAATTAAAATTTACATGGATTCACATTGTCATTTAGGATATTTCTTTTTTATTATCTTCTGCCTATATAGTGACTTTATGTTCGGAACAAACAATATTAAGGAAACTCATAGATAAATTGTATAGGGGTAGAGTGAGGCCTTTGGGGAATTCTAATTACTTTCTCCTTGTTTTGATATATGGACCATCATTGACTCTGGGCTTGTATGCTGTACTCTACAGATGCATAAGAGAGAAAGAACCTGCAAAGACTATATCAAGGTGAGGACATCAATGGTTTAAATTCAGGTAGGAATAGCTGTGGGCAAGAAATAACCTGTCAAACATCTGTGGGTCTCAGGGAGATGCTGACATTTCTCTGAGACCTGCATGTTTCTATCTCAAAGAAATCATTTCATTTAGAAGCACCCTAAATTTAGAGCAGCATTAAAAAGTTGCTTGTTTATGTTTATTAAAATATTTTTATCCCACACATGATATAGGCATATTATATTCTATAACTTTCTAGTAGTATATATGAAATTGTTCAGCAACCTGTGGAAATTATGAGGAAACAGACAAGAGAATTTTGGGGGAAGGACAAGCTTTGCTACCAAAAATATTTTTTTCCTTTGGTCTTGTCCAATATTATCTGAATTACAAGTGGAGCACAGGAAAAGTCCTTTCTATAACAATGCTTCTCATTTTAATTGTTCTGGATATACAACCAATATGGATATCCACAAAATATCCCACACAAGATAATCAAATGTAAAAACCTTAATGCTGGAAACAAGGCATAGAAAACTTCCACCAAGCCTATATCATTTTCATTTTATGTAGGAAGCTATTTGTAGTTGTCCAGAACACAAATAACCATGCAAGTAATCTCTCAACTACTACTGCTATTAGTATTGCTTAAAAAACTACATTTCATGCTATGCCAGTGTGGCTAATTTAATATAATATAAAACTGGGTGAGTTTTTAAAAATAAATAAATAAAAAAAAGGTTGCAGATCATTTATTTGGAACAAGGGTCCTAAATGCAAGCTCTTGAATTGAATGACACAAAAGAGGCTCTAAGTCAACCTTTTTCAGCTTGGCACCCATCCCATTGTGTTGAACTTCAATCCCTAGATTAAATAAAATAACAGAAAAAATCCCACCAGAAAAGATGTTAGCTAATCTGAAGGATACATGCTGAGGGGGGAAAAGTCATTTAAAAATAAAGGAGAAAGAATTTTTTAAAAACAGTGATGAATTATATGAATATTTAAACATGGGAGCTATGCTACTTCTCACTCTGCAAGTAAAGTACGGTAGTTGTACCTTGTAGTTGCTTGCAGAATGGCCTTGCCCATTTTATAATACTCAAAGTATTGATGAGCAATGCCTGTAGTTCCTGAGATGAAGAATTGCATTTTCTACTTGTGGATTGTTTGGAAAATACCGTGCCTTGAATACCAAATTAGCATTTCAGAAATTGAAAATCTCCTTCCATCCATACAAGAATTTTGATCCAATGAGAATAAGCAGAAGTTAGGTAAGAAAATGGGGCAGGGGGGAGAATACACAGTTACTTCAGTACTTCCATAAATGGTAACATCTTTGAATTGGCCCATTCTACTCAGGAGATGCACCTAACGAACAATAGCAAAATGACAATCTCAGATCCTCTGGGTTTTGAGGGTTAAAAAACACACAACATCCAGGGTGTCATGGATAAAGATTAATAACACATATGTCTGTCAAATATAAGCAGTAGCATGAAGAATGGATCTGTAACCATCTTTGCTCAATGGCAAAGAAGAGAAAAGGAAAGTGCGAGAGCAGAATAACTGTTGGGAGGGAACACGGGGTATGAGAAGTGGATCCATTTCCTCAAAACTCAATGTCATTCTAGGCTGTGGTGGAGACGGTGGACAACCTCCTGCGTCCAGAGGCCCTGGAATCATGGAAGGACATGAATGCCACAGAGCAGGTGCACACTGCCACCATGCTGCTTGATATCCTAGAAGAGGGAGCTTTCCTTCTGGCGGACAACGTCAAAGAACCAGCCCGTTTTGTCACTGCTAAGAATAACGTTGGTAAGCATCAGCTTGTCTGCTTTATCTTGAAGAAGTCAAGAGGGAGGGAGGGAACTTCACAAAGTGTATGGGTGCAGCAGACTTGTGCCTCTCTGAAGCAATTCTAAGCCAGCCAACCATTCTTTCTTCAAACTGTGTACTGAACATTATTGTACACAGTGCCTGTGCCTTTGTAAACCTAAAGAGGTGGGAGACTTTATCAAATGTAGGCTGTCAAAAATAGAGGAAGGTGCTATTTACTTTTTAAAGGCTCTTGATTTATACCTCCTGGCAGTGTCCTTATTTTTCCGTTGTACCCATAGAAAAGTGATCTGTATTTCCATCCCATGGCACATTGAAGAAGCAGGTTTCTTACATGGAAGCAGTGTTAAATTTCATTATGTACAAGGAAAGGATATCTGTAGGATTCCCCACTTCCATACTTCAGGAGTCTGTTACAAATAGGTCTGTGGAGTAAAAAGAAGAGAAAGGATTTCGCTGATCAGGCACAAGACTGGGTCTGCTTGGCACAGCCTGTGGTAGGATGATAGCATGTTAGCATTATCTCACTAAATCAAGTGGCCTTCAAGATACCTTTTCATCATAAAACTCATTAACTCATCAGTTGCAGAATCATATCAAACATGGTTACATATGCCACATTAAATTGTTTTGTTTTTAACTAGCCAGAAAGTACAAATGCAGCTGCTAGTGTTAAAGCAAGTAGAAAAGGACAGGGTATTAAACTGGAGAATAGAAAGAAGAGAAGATAAGAGTTAGGAGAAGTAGAATTTAGAAATTTCCCATCCAGTTCTCTTGGGCATATCCTGTCATATTGAAAATGTAGGTAGCTTCCAGTATCTCAGGCAGTGGCTATCTCTTCTTCAGGTCAAATCCATTCCTACACTTTTGCCAACCTTTTAGCAATGTAATCCAAGCCATTTCATTACATGGAAATGTCATATAATGTGATGCTAGCTAGATCAAAAAGATCAGAAAATCCAGTCAGTTTTGCAAACCATTTTCCTTGTGTGGAAAAAATTCTCACAATATTGCATTCTGCATAAGTATAAATTAGTATCTTGCCCAGGCAACCTGGAGAAACATACCTTTTGTGTCTGGTGCCAGACTGAACCTATAGCTCTTGAATAATAAATAGAAAAACCTAGTCTCCTGCCAGGTTTCCCTGGTGTGTCCCTGCTTCTTAGATTAAGTGACCTCAGACCAATTGAGTAAGCAATAAAACTGTAAAATGGCCCATCTGTTTAGATACAAAACGAAAACAATAATCCACAATGGACTGGAAACAGACCAGAATAAGCGGAAAGGGTACAGTTGCCTATACTGAATTCTTGCGTTTAGCACACAGTTTAACTGTAGAAATATGATTATAACAGAACTGATTATAAAGAAATATAGTATTAGGAGAAGCAAAGTAGAGATGATCTTTAACAACTATCAAACATTAGAAGGTCATAGTATAAACTCAGCATGACAAAAGAGAGGTTGAAATCAAGCCACCCCATTTCTATTCTGGTTGTCTAAGCATGAAGAAACATGAAGGTTACATTCAGTATCAATACAGAAACATGCAAATTTTCAGATGAAAGAAGGGTGATTACTACAGTTTCTTAGGTCTGTGGAGAGTCTCAGTCATCCAGGTCATAGTTGTCCCAAAGGTGCTTTTTCACGGGGCAACTGGGCTTTCTTGTTTTTCGTTGAAGACATTTCGCTTCTCATCTTGGATTGAAGCTTCTTGAATGAGAAGCAAAATGTCTTCAAAGAAAAACAAGAAAGCCCAGTTGCCTCTTTGGTACAGCTTCTTATGTTGTTTGACCTGTGTTCTGTGTTAACCTATTCCATTCTTCTCTCCTATTGTAGTGTTGGAGGTCTCTGTGTTAAATACAGAAGGGCAAGTGCCAGATATTGTGTTCCCACACGAATATACTACCAGAAACTCAATCCAGCTATCAGCCAACACAATCAAGCAGAACAGTCGTAATGGTGAGCAAGAGAAGGGACTCCAGATTTGGGGAGGACCTTGATAAATATCTTCCCAGAACATTTTGGAAACCATCACCATGCAATTATCTCTTTTCCTCCCTTTCTAACAATAATTCATTCTGTCTATTGCACCCCAGGCTGTATCTCATTTCCCTTTGTTCCTTAGGAGTGGTCAAAGTTGTTTTCATCCTCTACAATAATTTGGGATTTTTCCTCTCTACGGAGAACGCCACAATCAAGCTTGGAAGTGAAGTTGGTCCACTTAGCCCCTCACTTGTTGTCAATTCCCAAGTTATCGCTGCCTCCATCAATAAGGAATCTAGTCGTGTCTTCCTTATGGACCCTGTCATCTTTACTCTCTCCCACCTGGAGGTGAGATAAGAATTATTCCTGGGATCACTCTGTTTCCTTTTCTTTGCCTATGTCACTAAGTCCCATACCTTGGTACTTTTGCCTTGTAATCAGCTTCATACTAAACTACAACAGTGGCAAACTTACACTTTGTAAACGCTTCACTGCTAAAGTTTTGACTGGGTATAAATTCACTTTTTACCAGGTCATACATTTTTCCAATGTAATGAACTATCTGTATTCAGGGAGTGCCCTTTTCTCCCCCATCTATATTCTATTGAGGACACCCAGACCCATTCCTCTTTCCACATAGGACAAGAATCACTTCAATGCCAATTGCTCTTTCTGGAACTATTCGGAGCGTTCCATGATGGGATACTGGTCCACCCAGGGCTGCCGACTGATGGAGACCAACAAGACCCACACCACCTGTGCTTGCAGTCACCTCACCAATTTCGCTGTCCTCATGGCACACCGCGAAATTGTAAGAATATCACTTACCTGAATCAGGGTGGGGAGAAAATATGACAAGTTGTTAGGGGGAGAGAAATGGTTTTCTATCATCAGGGACATCCTTTAAACTCTTAATGCCTGCTGAAGGACAGCTGTTTCTCTTCAAAATGTTAAGAAGATGGGCAGTCTATGATGTCAATAAAAATGGAATGGCTTTGCAGTATTTGGACAATGACCAAAGCACACCACAGCTATCCCAATAATGAAGACCATTGTACTAATTACTAAATTCAGTATAAAATATAGAATGCGGGTAAGGGGATAGGGGAAACACACACACACACACACAAACACAAACACCAGGCTTCTTCCTTTTTTCTTTTCAGTATCAGGGCCGCATCAACGAACTTTTGCTGTCTGTCATCACATGGGTGGGCATTGTGATTTCTCTGGTCTGCTTGGCCATTTGCATATCCACCTTTTGTTTCCTCCGTGGGTTGCAAACTGACCGCAACACCATCCACAAGAACCTCTGCATCAATCTCTTCATGACTGAGCTCCTTTTTCTTATTGGAATTGACAAGACGCAGTATGAGGTAGGTGATGGTTTTCCCTTTCTATTATATACAATAGTCCCACCGGCGACTGCTCCTCTACACAGTGGGATCTGCAAGGCACATTAGGGGGAGGGAATGAGGATCTCACCAGGTTCCGTTTGGCTTGCCAAATTCAGGGTGACATTGATAAGCCTTTTGGATTCAGAAAATAGTGTGTATATGTATAGCCTACCTACGTCTCTTGGGCCACTGTTCCACCGAAGAGTTCACTGATCCCTGTGTATTATGAAGGAAATTTTAGACTGCAAAAAGATTTCCAGATGACATGTTTTCAAATATCTTTTTGTGTAGTTCACAAAAGTGAGAAGTTATTACAGGATAGATTGCAGAAAGAATAATACAATATAAGTTTAGAGAGAGGTGTTAAAATATACCCTGTTTCTCCAACAATATGGCCTCCCCCAATAGGAAGTCCCAGCATGTTTTATAGGCATGAAATGAAATTAAGCCCCTCCCCCCAAATTAAGGCCTATATTAAAACATGCGAATGGGGGGGAATGGTGGGGGGGGCTTGCCGTTAGGAAGTACTTTTGTTGCACGCCCGGATATGGTGCTGCCTGCGTTGACCCTGATATGAAGTGCCCCACCAATGCCGAGGTCAACATCCAAGCCATCGCTGCCCGCCCGCCTGAAGATGCAAGGGGGGGAATTAAGTCACCCCCGAAAAGACAGCCTAGCCATTTTTTCGGGGCTCAAAAAAAAATAAGACCCGGCCTTATTATATGAGAAACACGGTATCTATATAACCCCTGTAAAGAATATCCGAAACCACTTTATATCTTTCTTCTTCAACATTTTTTTTCTTTTCTTGGTCTTTTTTGCTTTTTTCTTTACTTTTTCTTCCCCCCCGCCCCCATACTTTATACTAGTTTGTATTAAATTTTATCGCCTTGTTTAAAAATGTTAATAAAAATTATTATAAAAATAAGACGTGAGAGGTTACTCTAGCTTGGAAGCAGAATTCTGTTTTCTCTGTGAAGCATCTTCCCTTTAGAGATATAAATGTCTCCTTATGGAGGAAGGTTACCTGTTCCCCCTTCTCAGTGCAGTCTTAAAGATGATGGCATTGGTTATAATTGCAGAGGGTGATGATGATGGCCGCAGCAGGAATAGTACTGCACCATTCATTTATGAGGGTTACCTGTTGGGGTGGGGAGGTCTGCCTGCCTGCCTGCCTGTCTAGGCCAGGGATCTTCAAACTTGGCAAGTTTAAGATTTATGGACTTCAACTCCCAGAATTCCTGAACTAACATGATTGGAGGAGGAATTCTGGGAGATAAAGTCCACAAGTCTTAAAGCTGTCCAGTTTGAAGACCCCCTGGTCTAGGCTATGTGTCCATAAGATAAACGAAACAAAACAAAAAGATAAAATTGAGCAGCTTGCTCTCATTAGTTGGCAAAGAGAGGGAACAGGGTAGAAGAGATTAATAGTTCTTTCATTCAAGAGCATTTGTAATAATATCATCCCAGCTTATCAAAACTGGGAGAAGAATCTCTGTGTTACGAGTGACAGAAGAAATATTTAAGACTGGGGGAAGCAAGCACTGAATACAATTCAGCACTGCTATGCAAGCAACCAAGAGCTGCAGGCAATCCTGTTGCCCCCAAAGAAGACCCAGGGCACCTGATGCTGATGGAAGTAGGGAGACTGAGTGAAAGAATATTATCGCAGGGGGGCAATGCACAAAAGAAATGGAAATAGTGTGTGGCCTTGCATATGTGGTTACCCAAGAGATTCCATCACTGCTCACCGTTACCTAGACTGGCTACGCTGATGGAATCTGTGCTTTGGAATTTGGACTGCCTTTAAAGAGCAGCAGTTTTGGCCCCAGAATGATACTGGAATGACTCTTGACGAATGTATCTTTTCTTTTATCTACACTGAGAGCTTATGCACCAGAGACAAATTCCTTTGAGTATCCAATCACACTTGGCCAATAAAGAATTCTATTCTATTCTATTCTATTCTATTCTATTCTATTCTATTCTATTCCCTATTCTATTCTATTCTATTCTATTCTATTCTATTCCCTATTCTATTCTATTCTCTATTCTATTCTATTCTATTCTATTCTATTCTATTCCATATTCTATTCCCTATTCTATTCTATTCTATTCTATTCTATTCTATTCTATTCTATTCCCTATTCTATTCTATTCTATTCTATTCTATTCGTAGAGATGAAGACAGCCTTCTCTTTTTCTAATATTAACATATAGATTGTTTTCTTATGGTAGAGATATGTAGAGATTTTAAATAAATCATTATATTACCTTCCCCCCCCCCCCCAAAAAAAAAACAAAAAAAAACACAGAAATCCATGCTAACTGGTGGTTCTTTTCCCCTCAATCCCAGATTGCCTGCCCCATCTTTGCTGGGCTGCTGCACTATTTTTTCCTGGCAGCATTCTCCTGGATGTGCCTGGAGGCCATTCACCTTTACCTCATGCTGGTTGAAGTCTTTGAAAGCGAGTATTCCCGTAGGAAATACTACTACCTGGGTGGCTATTGTTTTCCTGCCCTGGTAGTGGGAATTGCTGCCGCTATTGACTACCGCAGCTATGGCACTGAAAAGGCGTAAGTAGAGGGGTCAAGGATGAACAAGAATGATGTTCTGTTTTTAATCAATGATCCAATGTGTTTAATTTAAGGAAGAGGGTAAATACTTTTTTTTTTTTTTTTGAGAAACAGTAGAAATACTAGATTTTAATGAAAGACGAAGTAAGAATTTAGAGGTAAGACAAAGGATACCTAAAAGAAAGCCATGCTAGAAGCCCAAAGCAGTTGGATGAACAAGAAATTAATCTAGGTTTCAAAGCAAGTTTTGGTGGAATTGTCAGTCGAACTATTGTATGTAGTGGTGAAGGTATGGGATATCCACTGTCTTTTGGGTCTCTATTTAAACATGTCTTGCTCTACTTTTGGCAGTTGTTGGCTTCGAGTTGATAACTACTTCATCTGGAGTTTCATTGGACCTGTTTCTTTTGTTATTGGGGTGAGTCATTGAAGGATTGTTTGGAGCAGTTGAGGTGGGATTTTTTTCCTCAACCTGGGAAGAGTAACTAAAGTCCAACACTTCCCAATCCATTAGATGTCCCTTTTCTTTCCAAAGCTCGGAAGATGTGCTATAATGCACATCTCACTCCAAACCATGCAACCCTGCAGTGCAGTGGGAATTCATTGCCAACCTCAGAATGCGACAGAGAGAAGTTACTAACTGGGGGAACTGTAAAGCAAAGGATTCCATCACAAACATCCATCCATCCATCCATTCATTCATTCATCCATCCATCTGTACATTATCTTCCAGATCAATCTTGTATTCCTCATGATCACTCTGCACAAGATGATCCGCAATACATCCGTCCTCAAGCCTGATTCCAGCCGACTGGACAATATCAAGTAAGTTTTTCTTTGGATTCCTTTTGATGATCTTCCGATATAGGTTGAAGTGCCTTTTTATCTTAAACAGTTTAATTCTAATGTTGTCTGAACACAACAGTGTCTTTTGGATCCTTTCAAACCGATCCACCGGAACAAAACATGTCCCAGCCCAGACAAAATAGCCATCTCTGTGTTCAAATGGAGGACCTTTCTCAAGACAATAGGACAGAAAGCCCTCATCAGTGAGGTCCAGCAATAGCTCATTACCAACTCACAGCTGGGAATGGAAGCCTTAGTTCCACAGAAAAGAGTCTGAAGGGTTGAAATGGTCCTTTCGGCATGCTGAGCTTTGGGGGTAGCTCAGAAACAGGATGATGCCTTGAAGCCAAGGCCTTGGGATAGCTGATGTTCTTGCAAAACAGCGCACTGCAAAGACACCTTGAAGCCATTCCCTCATTTTCAGAAAGCACAAAACCTGGCATATCTCTGTAAAAAGGAATTCCCATTCCCTCAGATGAATACAGTTGTTTAATTCAACAGCAAACGAGGTGAAAAGCATATTCATTAAGAAAATTTGGAAATATTTTTTTCAGCAAATAGTTTATGACAAAAATGACAAAACTGTCAAAACACATGTGTTACTCACAGTTCACACCTTCTTATACTCGTTTGTTTTCATAATAGAATAATCCAGCAATGGTGTTTTGTTGGGCAGAACATACCTTGCTTGTTGCTAAGCTAAGACAAATAGTTTCACTTTAACATCTACCAAACTGAGAAATGCAGAATTCATTCACCTTCTTTAACCTAGCTCAAGTGGCTCAGAACCATGCTTAAGGGTAGCTGGAGCAAGAGTAAATGGATGCATCTACGAGAGACTGATAATCTCTAGGAGTTCCAAGAACTAAGTTTGGCAAGTTGAGGATCCATGGCCGAATGCAATCCCTGCATGCCCTTTTTTAGCAGCTCCCAGAATGCCTTCTAACCATCATGATGAATATCAGTGTGTTGGTTCCCTTCATTTTCAATCAGGCAATGCATGAAAACTGAATAGAAGACATTCAATAAACCTAGTTTATATAGCATGGCCCTGATCTACACATGATTTAAGAATCCTGTAAATCTGGAATTCAGTAATGGGGAACTTTAGCTCTGCAGGGATTAACTAAACTAGTAAGTTAGCTAGGAAGGGATGCTGGGATCTGAAGTTAGTAATAGGTGGAGGTTTTCTACCTTGATTATAGCCGGAATTGATATAGTAGTTTCTGTTTTCGAATACTGTTATCAGCAGAGTGCAACTATTATTTTCAGAAAACAGTTCAGTTCTTTCATGCTGATTTTTTTCTTTCTGTTTTTTCCAATTAGTTTAACGGCAAAGAATGTATTCACTATTGATATGATTTTTTATCTCACTTCTTTTATTCTTGCTGTCTATTTTGGATTCTAATTTAGCACAGTCTGTCAACATGTTGTTTTGGTTTTTTAAATATTTCATACAAATTGACAGTTCCTGATATTTATCTTTATTCAGAAGAGCAAATTAATCAATTTTAATGGTTATTTATTTATTCAACCTTTCAAATATATTTCTCATGTAAGCATCCCAAAATGGTATACAAATAACAAAAGAAAAATATAATAATACATTAATAAATAATATACAAACATCCATCAATAGATAAAGGATATAAAAATAAAAAAAAGAAAAATACATAGCATTCAGAGAGGGAATACGTAATACGTCTGTAGAAGAAGGAAGGATTTTTGCGCCCTAGGTTTTCTCAGAAAATAAGTCTTGTAATAATTTCATAGGTATTTATTGGTTCATTCCAGAGGGACATATGGTGGGGGTGGTATGGACTCATTTCTCCATACAGTCTATTCGGATCTTCGGTATCCATAAGCTGAGAATATTAAACAGAATAAAGTACTGTAGTCCCCAAAAGGCAACATCATACCTGCTCTGATGGTGGAGTCCAAATCAGAATGCATCTATTGTGGCTTCCTTTGCAAACAATCATATCAACCATGAGGCATAAAGTCTTCCAGCTTCTCATCCCACGCTCCCAGCAATCCTGGTGGAGGAGATAGAAAAACAGATGCAATGGAAAATAGGTAATTGTTGCTGTCTCTGCTGCCATGGAATAATGTTCTTAATCAACCTGAACCTTTGGTGTCCTGACTGATCCCAAGATTTATTCCAGATGTTCTCAAAAAGCTGCCATGCCTTTTGTTTCATCCTTTTCAGCTCCCCATCAAATCAGGTGGGGGGCAGTCTTATGTATTGTTCACACTGTCTTTGTGGTTCTACTGATCAACCAGTACAGGAAAAACCCCATGTGAATTCAATTCAGCAAATCAAATCCATTAGACACTAGGGGGAAACCATTTTGACTAGTTCATAACCTGTGCAAAAGTTTATACTGATGGCCAGCCTAAGGTAACCAGATAATGATCTGTCTACAACAGTGAAATTACATAGTGCTTCTCTACCCTCCAGTGACTTATTATCATCTGAGCGGAATTGTGACATATGGGGCCAAATATTAATTGATACTCTCCATGGTTGCATGGCAAGACTGGGTGAAATCCTGAGCTACCCTTAAATGAAGCGAGAGCAGTGATGGCTAACCTATGACACGTGTGTCACTCGTGACACGCCGAGGCACTTTGACTGACACGCCTGTTGGTCCGCTCGGGAGGACGGGGAGGAGGTGGCGGCGGCGGCTCGCGTTGTTTTCTGAGCTCTAGGCTCTAGGCTTGCGGGCTCAGAAAACAACGCGAGCCGCCACCACCACCTCCTCCTCCTCCTCCTCCCGAGCGGACTGAAAGCAGCTGGGGCTGAGGAAACGAAGCCAAGCGGAGCCGAAGCCACCTCGGCTCGCGTTGTTTTTGAAGTGACACACGACCCGAGGAAGGCTATACTTTTTCCCGATTTTCGACACACCAAGCTGAAAAGGTTAGCCATCACTGAGCTAGAGTAACCCAGTGCCATATCCCAAATGGCTGAGCCAGTCCAGGAAAAAAGACTGTAAGGAAAGTGGTATAACAACAGAAACCCTACATTGTTCTAACTGCCCAATTATAAGAACATACATTCAACATTAGTAGACTGCTAGTGCAAATATCAAGTCAGTGAGAGAAAAATCCATGTACATTCTAACTTTCATATGTCACTCAACTGGGAGAGCACTTATGTTATGCTTTTAAAAAACTGTATACATGAGAAGGCTTATTGAAGGTTTTCAGGTGTATTACTGTACATATGAAACAGGAGGCAGAGCAAGTAGTATGCTGATCTGAGAATCAAAATGAGTTAAGGTTGATTCAGCCCATGTATGATTCTGGGATTGAGGCTAATAATAATATAAAAATATAATTAAAACTAGAGGCCACTTCTTTGAAAATACTTTGTATTCTAAAAGTAGTTTATCACAGGTGACCAAGAGGTAGACCTTCTGTTGCAAGCCCCCCTCCCCCGACTCTCCCACTATGTGGCAATATTCTGTGCCTGTTATCAGCATCACTATAAAAAGAACAGAGTAAGACAATGATTTGGACTTTCTTTGCTGTAAAAGCAGAAATGGGAAGCAAACCTTTCAGGGAAAATAACCAGAAATGCAACTGTATATCAGGGATATTTTAGTGAGAAATCCCTTTTGAAAAGAATGTACTCAAAGATCCAGATATAAATAAAAATTTACTGGGAATGGGAAGAATAAGGGAAGGCAATAATCATATGAAGAATATTCTGAATAGAAAAGAATGAGGCCACGCCTTGTTACATGATTTCTATCTGAGGAAGCTCGCTCTTTCTTTCTAAGATACATGGATAGTTCCTTATAAAGTGGAAGGTATGTGACGGGGAATATTCAACTTCCTGTATTTAAAAAAAACATTATTGAGAACAAACATATTTATGGAATCTAAGAGCAGCAAAAGCCATTGTTTTAATGAAAATTGAATGTTCTTCAATCTAAAGAAAGTATCTTTCATTTCTGAGTTTCTGGAACTTTCTTCTTACTAATTCCAGTAATATCAATTCCTATAGAATGAAGTTTAAGAAAGAGCATAAATGTATGAATGTGTGCTCAGAAACAAAACTGAATATCTAATTATTCAGGCTTTCTGGTGTGAGGCCAGCTTACAAAGAAAGGGCTAGGCTGGGGCATAGTTGTATTACAAAAAAAAGAGGTGTGTGTGAAATTTGGAATACTTTTGATGTTTTAAAACACCAGAAGATTAAAATAAATATTGCTATGTGTGCGAGAGAGAAAGAAGAGGGGGAAAAAATGCTTGGATGACTACCAAACTAAATTTAAGACACAGAACTATAGGGAACTGTGAATGGGGAGTGTGATGTGATATTCCCCTGCCCCCAGGGGTGGGATTCAAATTTTTTAACAACTGGTTCTGAGGGCATGGCTAGGTCGATGTGGCCATGTGACTGGGTGGGTGCGGCTTCTTTTTTGTGGCAGCCCCCCCCCCCCCCCCATTTTTTGCCTCCTGGGCCTCAGGAAAGCCTCCTGGGGGGCGTTTTGCTCCCAGGAAGCTTCCCTAGGGGACTAGGAAGGCACATGGGGGGCCCCAGCACCCACCCACCCCCCATCCCCTCCGCGCGCTTCTTTTTGCTTCCTGGGCCTCAGGGAAGCCTCCTGTGTGAAGCAGTAAGACAACAAGGGGGATCTCGGCACAGCTGATCATTGGAATAGCTGATCATCGGGAGGGGAAAATAGAAATAACTTAAGGAGTGGCTGGGCGGGGAAGAACGCAGTCAGCAATGTCGGGCATGCACACAATGTTTCACATGCACGATAAGGATTGACTGGGCGAGGAGGGGAGGAGCGGGCAGAGAGGGGTGAGGCCAGCCAGGGGCACAATTTGCCGGTTCTCCGAACTGTGCAGAATCATAACAACTGGTTCTATAGAACCGGTCCAAACTGGTAGAATGCCACCCCTGCCTGCCTCCAATTTCATTTGCAATACATGAATAAAAACCAGAGGGTAATAGCAGAGGGCAAAAGTAAAAGAAGCAGCTTTATAGACCTCAGCATGACTGGATAAAGATGAGTAAGAAAACAGAGCCCACTAAGCAGTTTTTTGACTAGTAACATTGGACACACACAACCTCATCAGAGAACTGGAAGAGATTTTTATTTGTATTTTCTCATCTCATATCTTCTCACCCATTTCTTTCTGGTTCACCCTCTGGCATCGGCAAACATCACAGAGGAAGTCTTCCCTTCATTATGTATACAGAAAAACAAGTCTCAGTGTTCAGTCACACACACTTTCTCTTTCCTCACTCCTAAACTTACCCTTGGGGGGAAAAACCCTATGAAAAACAGTTAATAAATTCTTTCTTAGAGAGCAAGGAAGAAGACATGACTATTAAGGCTTGGGAATGTCAGTTGGCCTGGAGAAATAGTAATGTGTTCCTGCAATTTTTACCTTACCTTGGATTTTATAATCACTATCTGTTGCTCAGGATACAAGTCATTTAAATTTCACTTAAGGTCCTTAAGTTTCTCCTTGTGGCTTGTTGTGTAAAAGAGCACTTTGGTGTATTCTTGTCATAAAATGTGCAGCACAAACAGATTCTGGTCCAGAGGTGATATTCAGCAGGTTCTGACCAGTTCGGGAGAATCGGTAGCGAAAATTTTGAATAGTTCAGAAAACCGGCAAATACCACCTCTGACTGGAGATTTTACAGTATCCTTCCCCTGCCATGCCCACCAAGCCATGCCCACAGAACCAGTAGTAAAAAATTTTGAATCCCACCACTGTTCTGGTCCATTTAGACAGTAGCTCCATCTCATCAAGCATTGAGTCCGTCCCTTAAAAACCATCTTCGTTTTCTCAAGGCAGCTTGCCCTGTGTACAAAGTTGAAGAACCTTTTCCGAAGGTAGGAGGAAGATGTGAGTAGTGAAGCTCCAATGTTATCCAGGCTCATCTTTTTATATATATAATATATTTGTTTTGTTTTATTAACAAAAGTAAAATACAAAATGGAAAAACAACAAAAAATATACATCTAGCACTAATAACAACAAAAAAGAAAAAAGATTGATGTACAAAGAAAAAAGAAAAAAAAATGATCCAAGTATCAACTAAATTTAACATCCAACATATAGAATCCACCCTGGCTGGATGCTGGGGAGAAAAAAAAAAGATGAATTAACCTCCCCTTTACATAGTGGGTCTACAAATAGTTATAAGCTTTCCCATCCCTATTTGTTTAATATTAAATGAGCAAATGTTCCAGGTGAGGGGAATCAATGCCCATCTTGAATTTACTCGTCTCTCTTTCTACAGGTCTTGGGCACTTGGAGCCATTACTCTGCTTTTTCTCCTGGGCCTCACCTGGGCCTTCGGCCTCCTCTTTATCAACAAGGAGTCTATTGTCATGGCCTACCTCTTCACTACCTTCAATGCTTTCCAGGGCATGTTCTTCTTTGTTTTTCATTGTGCACTGCAGAAAAAGGTGGGTAGTCTTGGTATTGAAGAACATGACACGGGTTAGAATGGGAGGTTGAGGTGATCCGGTGGAGCTGATGCTGCAATATGCTGATTAAGGAGCTTTATAAAAGCAAGAGGGGCTTCCTAGTCCGAGGTCTGGGCTTCTTTGCAGAAAAGCAGCATCGACTGTAGGATACTTTGAATCTGCATTGACTAGTTATGGATCGAACTTTCTGATGAAGCAATGTTATTCAATCACAGACAACCTATGACCGCTAGGTCATTTTTATAAAATTTGCCAAATTCCAGGAGTCCTGGGTCCCGGGTTTTAGGTGCATTCTCTAAGTTAGCCCATTTGAGGTATCTTGGTTGAAAAATTTTTGCCCCGTTTTGCTTAGTTAAGAGTTACAGACACAAGAGTTTGGTAGAATATAGATACTAGTCTTAATACTTAGCTGATTAAGACATCAGATTGGTATAGATTTTGTATATGAATAAAAACTCTAGTTTTGAACCTAGATGAATTAAATCATGCACAACTCATTGTGATTTGTGAGAAAAAGCAATTTGACTTTTTCAGACAGTGATTGTTACCTGGATTTGTTTGGTTTTGTAACTACTACTATTTATTTTAGAAATATTGCTGACAAATTGAGACACCTTTTTAGTTTATACACTGTTCCTTATTTATGCAATTAAATGAACATTGCATCTTTAGTTTTGCATGATGGTAAAGATTGTTTCTGAAAAGCTAAGAATAGTTGGTAAAACAACAGAACATCATGAAGAGTCCTTGTGTTACTGGGAAGTATTCTTATGCACACCAGTCAAAGCAGAGGTGGTATTCAGCAGGTTCAGACGAGTTCTGGAGAACTGATAGCGGAAATTTTGAGTAGTTCGGAGAACTGGTAAATACCACCTCTGACTGGAGATTTTACAGTATCCTTCCCCTGGCACGCCCACCAAGCCATGCCCACAGAACCGGTGGTAAAAAAATTTGAATCCCACCACTGAGTCAAAGGATATTGTGTAAGCATTTTGTCTTTCTCTTGTTAATGCATGTACATACGTGGTAAGTAAAGAAAAAGACAGAAGCAACAGCAAAGGAAGTTCCAGGCGCAATATGTTGCCAGTTGGACCCCTCTCAAGGCCTAGTACAATGAATGACTTGTCTGAAAGAGAGTGGAACAATGCATTTTCTCCCTTTCCTTTCTTCTCGTTCCCCTCTTTTGCATTAGGTGCACCGCGAGTTCAGCAAATGCCTGCGACATGCATCCTGTTGCCTCCGGAGCCAACCAGGTGCCACACTAGGCTCCCTCAAGACCTCAGCTATCCGCAGCAACAACCGTTACTACTCTGGAACACAGGTAAAATCTGGCAGGGATTAGTGAAAATCAGTCATTGAATAGATGATTTAGTTAAACCTATTTAGCCAAACTAAAAGTGTTTAAGAAGACCAAGGCATGAATGTAAGGTGAATGGGGGAAACAGTCAGATAAAGTTCTGTTAAATGCAGAATGGGGCTGTTTTTTCAGAGCCGAATCCGGAGAATGTGGAATGATACTGTGAGGAAACAGACTGAGTCCAGTTTCATGGCAGGTGATCTCAACAGCACTCCGACACTTAACCGAGGTGAGTGGTCCATCATTTCCAATGACCCTGTTCTAAACCAGAATGGCCATCTGCCCCCGTACAAGTGAAGAGGGAAATCAGTACTGCTGAGTAAGAATATCTCCTGCCTTAAGCAGGCAGTTACAAAGCCCCCTCTTCAACTCCTAACCCAATACTCTGCATCAATTTCTTCTGAAGTAGCCTTCTCTTTCTTAGCTATTTCCAGATGTCCTCCCGAGAACGATAGATCTCCAGTCTAGTTTATATGGTATATATCATTCCTCCAAAGAGCTTCTTTATGTTTTACCACTCTTTGCCACCCACCACTCTGACACTTTTTCTTGTCTAGATACGGACATTTGTGTCCTGCAGAATCGTAACACTTCGGCATACACTCTCTTTGCAGGTACAATGGGAAACCACCTGTTGACCAACCCCGTGCTGCAGACACGGGGCGGGAGCAGTCCCTACAACACACTCATTGCTGAGTCTGTGGGCTTCAACCCTGCCTCACCCCCTGTCTTCAACTCTCCAGGTAAGATAGTCACCCTCTTGAAGGAGAATCCTTCCTTTTCATTTCTGAGTTTGTGGTTGGAAAAAGGCCCTGCCTACCTCCATGCACCTAGTAAGTAGAAGGGACATGATACAAACCTGGACCACAGGACATGCATTGTACACACTGGGGCAGAGCAACCTTTTCAACTCTGCAGAGGTTGGATTTGAGACTACCCATGCAAACCACACACTCTTCCACCAAACTTTGACCAGTTGGGATACAACGATTATGGATCATATCTAATATTTGACAAAAAGCTGTGGCCACCTGGGTAACTCCCTTTTCTTTTTCTTTTTCCCCCCTTTTTTCTCTCCTAATCGATGCTGCCTCCAGGGAGCTTCCGAGAGTCCAGTACGTCCCTCCTTTCCAGTTCCATTTCGCAGTAATGTTTCCTTCATTGCTAGTTTGACTGGCAGGCTGGGGTGGGTGCGCAACAGGCATGGGCAAGCGTGTGCCATTCTATCTGTTGGCTGCAGGGAGTGCTGGCTCCGGGAGGGACTCTTCGGGCTTTACTTTTCCATATCTTTCTCTGTGGGGAGGCCACATGTTTTTGCAGTACTAGCTGTGGGCACCAGATGGAGCAAATAGCACCCACAGAGCCCCCAAATACCCAACCTAGCCACTCTCCCAGTCACACTGGGCTAAAGCAGTGGGCCCAGTGATCTGGCTGGGGCTCCCTCCCTAAAGTATCTCCTTCACTGCTGGAAGATAGTTTACTCTGTTGCCTTTCAACATCTTTCTCCTGTGGGCAAAGAGGTGGCATCCATACTGCATAATGCATGTGGCTGTGCTTGGCTAAATTAGGCATTTCCCATATGGCTGCTTTCTTCTCCATCACCCTATAAGTTATGCGCGATTACACTTTTCTACACACGGACACATTTAAACGCCTAAAAACCCCATTTGACATGTGTAAGTGGGCATTGCTCAAGATGCAGCTGTTCTAACACAAGCATTTTTAAATCCTGTACCCTTGAATCCTGAGTGATTTTGCACACAGCCAAAGGAGAAGTGAATTACAGATGCCGACTACATGAAAAAGAAAATCAAAATTATCCAACTTCTATTTAGAAATACACCTTCTTAATGACAACAGCTCCATATGTTTGTTCTTTGTTTTAGAATGCTGGGGTCTAATAATCAAAGTGACTCTATGCTTGTTTTTAAAGCTTGTGAATATAGGGAGCCCAAAACAAGGGAAAAAATAAGATGCTATTGCATACACCCATTTTGAACACTTCCGGAAATATTTGAGCCTTGCTTATTTAGGGAGTATGGCTCCTTTACTTTGGGACAGCAACTCCCTATCTTAATTTGAGTGTTTTCTCAAAAATGTAGGGATCATCCCACATTGGGTATAGTCTGATAATTTTTTCCCCAGTGGTGCAGTTATATAACTTGATATTCTAGGGTTTTCTGGGAGAGGGACTATTTCCTTAGATCAGAGGTCTTCAAACTTGGCAACTTTTAGACTTGTGGACTTCAACTCCCAGAATTTTCCAGCCAGCTACAAGTCTTAAAGTTGCCAAGTTTGGTGACCCCTGCCTTAGATGAATACTTCTAAATGTGGTTATCCAGCCCTGTTGCCTTTGGGTAGCCGGTGTCTGTTGCATCTGTGCCTGAAAATCCTACTCTGAAGGCTCTTCAGCCAAGAGCAAATCAGTAAAAACCAATTGGCATTTCCCATATGGCTGTTTTCTTCTCCATCACCTTCTTTTGTTTACTAGGAGCGGGTTTGGTTAAGAAGGTTCCTTGTCTTTTCCACAGGATGGTAGAAATAGTTAGATCAAATCTTCAGAGCATCTTGTTGAAATAAAGGAGCCCGTATTAGAACTCTGAAATAAGCCCCACCCCGAAATGCACTGGCCAATTCAGTTCAGCATAAATTGCCTTTCCAGCAGCAGTTTTAGATTCACTTCTCTTGGCCTTTTTTTTTTTTTTTTTTTTAGGGTAGAGGTGGGGGCAGTTTGATGCTACCTTCTTTCTCTGAGCACAAGCCAATTATCTTGGGAATCATCCCATATGATTCTCATCCGGGCAATTCTCCTTTGTCCCAGAGCACAAACACATCCATAGTGCTTGTGTGCCTGAACATTCATAAGTTCATGCTGCTCAGCTGTCTTTCATACGTTTCTGGTGAACAGCTTGCCTTTTAATGTACATCTTGGAGTTACTGCTGCCACTACCCCCAGAAGGTGCGCAGGGCCTCCCTCCCTATTTTCTGCCACTAATGCCCCTATCTGTGCTGCCCCTTACAGAGCACCCCCTGAACAACAGCCGAGACGCTTGTGGCATGGACACCCTCCCGCTCAATGGCAACTTCAATAACAGCTACTCCCTCCGCAGTGGTGACTTCTCCGCCGAGGGTACCAAGATGGCTGATTGTCGACGAAACCTGAGTGATGCTGCGGCCTTTGAAAAAATGATCATCTCTGAGCTGGTGCATAACAACTTGAGAGGGGGAGGCAGTGTGGCAGTCAAGGGAGGCGGGGGCTCCACTGAGACCTCCAACCCCCCTGGGCCTCCTCCCCCTCCCAATGTAGTAGCAGGGGGAGGGGGAACCAACAATGAGGATGACGCCATTGTGCCTGATGCCCCTTCCTTGACACATGAGGAGAACATGGAAATTGAACTTATGTATAAGGCCTTAGAGGAGCCACTCTTGCTTCAGAGGGCACAGTCCATCCTCTACCAGAGCGACCTGGAGGAGTCAGAAAGCTGCACAGCTGACCTGACAGAGGGGGGTGACGGCCAAGTTCCTTCACCCAACAGGGACTCATTATACACCAGTATGACCAATCTGAGGGACTCCCCGTATCCGGACAGCAGCCCTGAGGCAGTTGGGGAAGTGCTTCCTCATGCCCAAGCCATCAATGAGATCTACTATACCAACCGGCCAGCCTTGGTGCCACGCAACCAGCTCCAGGCCTACTACCAAGTCCGGAGACCCAGCCATGATGGGTATTTGGTCCCAGCAAGCTTAGAGAACCCTGCAGTGGAGGGAGATGGCCAAATGCAGCTGGTGACCAGCCTTTGAGGGGCTGACAAGGGACTTAAGGGACCATACCTCCTAACCCCAACATGGCATCCTTGCTGTGACCTGAACATTTTCATTTTTTGCTGGAGAAATGGTGGGGAAGAAGAGAATGGAGCAGGCTGGGGGATGAGTGGAAGAGAGAAGGTGGAAGAAAGAGTGGAAGGCAGAGGTCTTCTCCAAAGGGATGGGTAGCCATTTCATCCAGTTATCTTTCCATCCACTTCGTTTTCCAGACAGAAAGTGAGACATTGCCGATTAGACGATCTCATTTCCTTTTCCAGGCAAATGCAATGGAGGAAAGAGAGCAGTATCTAGGCAAGAAGATCAGACTTATGACTATACCTCCTAGAAAATGGAGAAGGAACAATAGATTGAGAAAGTTTGAAAGTTGAAAATTAATTTTTATTGCTTCAATAATCAAAGCCATGAGGGTGCCATGTGCAGAGAATGGGGCACATGGAGAAATACCCTGCACCCACTCTCCACCCTCCCTTTATTGGCTTCTTTTCAACACCAAGAAAACATGAACAAAAAGGCATACGGCCTTCTTAGGGTTTAGATGCTGCCAATGGCCACCACCCTGCCCTATGTCATAGGGAAAGGTACACGTGGGGGGGAAAGGAAGGAGTTGTTCAGTTGATGCTAAGACCACAACTGGCCTTCCAGCATTTGTTGGAAAGCCCACAGGTTATCAGTGGGATTTCTATTGGCTCCTTATTTGTTGCCTCTGAGTGGCAAGACTGCAGGGAAAAAAATGATCTTCCTTTTTTTCCCCTTTGTCTTTTTAAAGCTACATAGATGTACTTAAGCTGCAGCATTGCTTCTGGGGAAGAAGGAGGAAGTAGCACTAAGCTGGCTTATTTTCATTTTTGCTTTACTTTTTGTTGCCACATTTAATGGTCATTCCCCCTTTTAATTTCTTTTCTGTGGCCACCAAGCTTGAAATCATACAAAATACAGATGAGGAGGGATGGCATTGAGGGCAACTGTCAACTGGGTCGATCCCTCAACCCAATCTACCGTGTTCCTTCTCCAACACTTTAAGAAGAATCACCTTCCTTCTCTTTCATTCCTGCCTGTGAAGATGCAAAAGCAAAAATCAGGAGTACTTGCAATGCAAATATGGCTGCCATCCGAACATATTTGGGACCATGCAGGGAGAATGAGTGTTGAACTTTCCCCGCCCCCCCCCCCCCCCCCCCCAACCGGTGGGGCTGTGGCTTTCCAACAAACGAAGAAAAACAAAACAAAAAAACCAACCCAGACTGCACTTTTTTTCCCCAAAGGAAGAAATAGCAAATCTCCCTCTTCAAGCACAACTCCGACTTTTCTCAGCAGCTCTTGTGACGGGAGAGCCAGAGGAGGGACCGGTCTCACCTAGAGGCACCATATCTCTGGCGGGCGGTGGGCAGGGTGAACAAGGGGGAAGGGATATCAGTTGAAATGCTGTAAATAGGAGATCCTCAAAACAACAACCAAGAATTGATTTACTCACTTGAAAAAAGGAAAACTACAAACCAAGGAACTTTTTCTGTCTGGGTTTGAAATATATATCTATATCTATATCCCGATATATATAGATATATAGCACTCCGCTCTGCTCTGGCCCATATGTGTATATGGGAGCGTTCAAGAGGAAAGAAAACCCCTGCTTTGATGAAGACAGTGGGGGGGTGGAGCTTACCAAGAGCAGATTTTTACAATCAATGGGGAAAAAAAAAACATTTTGGCACAATTTTTATGTAATATATAACATATACTGCGTCATTTCTGTGACCTTGAAGCATTTTCCCTTTCCTTCCAGATGAGGTACTTTTTTCATACATCCTGATGAAGTTGGTTATTTTCTCATTAACTGACACTTTGCAACTGTGGGTGGGTGGGGAAAAATCAAAGTTTTTACCGCAAGACCCAAAGATGCTGTAGTTCTGCAACGCTGTAGGTGCCAGGAAAATCCTTTGCTTTTAGAAATTTTAGTAGCAGGGGTGGGCAGAATTGCATTTCATTTCCTTTTTTTTTTTTTTTAAAGGAACCACACTGCGCGTATTTATTTGAACCATCCAGGCTAGCATTTGCCAGGTGACATTCTATCAAAAAAGGGAAGTGATGTGTGGTTTCACTGGCCAGAGCCTCAAAGCATTCAGTGTTTTGGTTTCGTTTTGTTTGGCTTTTGATCCTCTGAGAGCTGGTAGATCAGTGACTGTTCAAAGCAAAAACAGAGAATCAGCTCTTTTTAAGCAAGCTTTCTAGATAGCTTGGGCTTTCTCTCTCAGCATCAGCGAGGAAGATGAACCATCCTCCGGTGTCTTGTCCCTTTGTCTCTTACCTCACTGCCAATATTAATGAACCAACCCCCCCTCCCAGTAAATTACCACATAGGATCCTTTAGTTGCTTTGGATTTCACCAGGAGACAAGTCTAATCCCAATGCATTTGCATTTTCAGTTCCTCAGTTTTCCCCTGGAGTGTGGCTTGACTAGATCTTTCTAACAAACACTGGGGCACACCCCACATAAACCCCACAAACTGTCCTTGAATAATTTGGGGGAAAAGAGAAACCATGCTACATGTCTTTTTCGACCAGTAACCCAAATATTGTGGAAGGTTATCTGCCAGCAGCAACAAAACATGTAAGTGAACTGCATTCCATAGCTTTACATCTAAGATAAATAGACAGCTCTCTGGAGTGCAGAGCTTGGGCTGGTGTGTGTTCAAATCAAGAGGAATTATGCATAGCAGAATTAGATGGAATATTCCGCATAAAACCTCCCCCCCCCCCACTGTTCCAGCTCACAGTAATAGCCACACTCCTGTATTAAGTCACAATGAAACTGGCACTTATTAAAGGTGTTCAAACATCTTTTGCTTTATATCCAGATCATAAATTCACAGGGCACAAGGGAATGGATAGCAGGGCTTTTTGTGCTGTTGTATTACTCATTGGTATGGTGGCGCAAGAAATGGAGAGGATTGGCTAGGGTTGCTAATAAACCCTTCAGAGTCCAAACTCCTTCTGCCACAATTTTGATTTTGCCCCCAAGTCATTGTGTGATTAAGTGAAAATAAGGTCCACTTTCATTTCCCTGTTCCATCCACAACCTATGGTTTTGATCGGTCCCCTTCCAATACCAAATGGCCTTATTCACCCCACATCCCTTTGCTGCATTGATCCAAGGAAGGCTCTTGGTTCAGGAACCTCCTTGGCTTTTATACCAAGAGGTACCTCCATGCGGAAACCTCGCATTAAAAGCAAAATGAAAACAAAGAAACCAAAGACTGCCCTTGTTCTCCTTGGGAAGAGTTGAAGCTATGAGGATTGAGTTTCTGGCAGCCCAACATAAAGCTTTGCACTTTCCTGCATGTCAGGTGTTCAAGGTCCATTCAGCTGGTGAAATTTGGAGGAAAGAAGAAATAAGGCAGATGAGTTAGTATCAGTGTTATTGCATGCACTTTTCTGGTATCAGAGAAAATGTGGGGAAAGGGGCTATATTGATAGGAGCTGTGATAAGGGGATTGTAGGGTCCAGCTTCAAACATTGTCAGCTTTATACAGACAGGCAGCCTCTTCCTGTTCTCACATTTGGAATTTAACATTGCCCCGTTCTTTGAATGCTAGTTGCCTCCATGCAAAACACTAATGTTTTGAACTTGAACAAGCTATATAGACACAGAGACAGGTATTTTAAAATTAAGCTAAACAGAGAGGCCCCAAAAGTTCTTTATATTAATGAGAATGAGTAGAGATACAACTAGCTGTAAGCAAACACGGGGGGGGGGGACGGAATAGGGGCCATATGTCACTCAATATGACTGTCTAGAGCAGTGCTTTTCAACTTCAGCAGCTTTCTGATGGGTGGATGTCAACTCTCAGAATTCCCACCCAATGTAACATACTGCCTGGGGGAATTCTGGGAGTTGACGTCCACTCATCTGAGTTGAGAAACACTAGTCTAAAGCTGCAATAATTTCATGTAGGAATATGTGAGGAGAGGAGATTAACAGCATCACAATGTCCCTGATGTAACAAAGCAGTGCAAATGGTGAGTTCTAGTTTAATTGCCCAGTAGCAGAATTTTTTAAATGGTTTTGTTTTGCATTTGGAAGGCAGGCCCAAGGAACATATCAACAAGCTGTGAGAATCCAGATATGTGATTTGCAGAAACTAGTTTTAAAGCAGACTGAGCTTATTATAATTTAAATGGAGGATACCTCCATGCTCAATATTTCAGAAGATAACATGCCTGGGCTGCAATTATATTTCAACATTACACCTCTTTATTTATAGTCACATGTTATAATCTTTCTCCTCAGGCTTTTGAAGTTTCCCACTTCTTTGTTCTTACAGCTCTTGTAAGGGGGCGGGAGGGACATATAACATCCAAAATAACATTATGCTCTAAATAGGGTTTTACCATAGGTTGTAGAATGGCACTGTGTTGCTTGCTGCTCCTCTAACACTGAAGTTGCTGGGGGTGGGGGTGAGGTTTACTGCCACAGCAAAGCTGATACCATTGTACTTTCCACCTTGAATCCAAGACCTTGTGTATGTGTGTCATTAAGATCTATTAGCAGGTTGTAGAGAATTGGTGGGTGAATATAATTTCCCTCTGCCGTAATGATATTACTTCTCTCAAAATTGCATTTATTGGAAGAATATAAAGTTTTGCTTCTTAAGATTTTTCCTGGGGAACCGCATCATTCAGATGCCCTCGCCTCATTCCAGCAACATACACTAAAGAAGGACACCACTGAGTCCTGTTGTGCTGCTTCCAAAAAACTCAGTGTCATTAAGTCCGAGGTCCTGGGTTGAGTTGGTCAGGGGGAGTGTCGTTAGCTTAGGTCTTGTGCAAATTAATATAGTACAGATACTGAATTGTCATGTCGTTGTACAGGATCCCTCTTTACATTTGTCTTTTTATTTTATAATACTGAAATCTCATTCTGGAGGTCATAGGAAGGAATGAAAAATATCAAATGTTTGAAGAAGAAAACCAGGAGATAGGTATCGCTCATCATCAGTGCTAGGAGACAGTAATTGCTACTTACATGCTGATAGCCAGAGAGGGCATAGGCTTCCTGATGAGAGCCTGCCCAGCTTCCCATTCAAGAATTGTTTTAAATGTCTCTGGTTGTTCTGTACATGGCGTTCATTTCTGCTTGCAATCCATTAATTGAAGGGCCTGGACTACAGTTCTCTTTCTCTACACTTTTGTCTAAGACTTATGCAAATCCGTGAGCTCCACTCACTTTAGCAAAAGTATTCTATTCAGCTTTTCCAGAGCCATTTCTTAATCGCTGCCTTGGTGCAATGCAATCAGATGTGCAAGTTGATCCAAATTGTCCCCCCTGGCCTTCAGGCCAGCATAGCATGGAGGACATGGGCCATTATATGGACTATGTTCTCCATTCTTCTGAAGATGGGCGGGGAAGTCAGCCCTCACCAGCTACCCTGTTGTCTGCTCATCAAGGCCATCTCTGTTGTCTCTAAACCTGGCTGTCTGCAAGTCAACACAAGGGGCACATATGCATAAGCTAGTTCAGGACAGCACTACCTCTAAGGCAACTTTAGAACTCAGACTCTGCTGCTCTAAATATCACTCTGAGCTTAATCACTGGAAGCAGTGGCACACGGGCTCTGTTACCTTTTTGTGTGAGAGTGAAATGCACTTCTTTCTCTGCTAGGAACTCTCAGGCTGCTTCCAAAGTCTTCATACGTGAGACTGAAGGGTTATTATTTTGCAAAGTCCATGCGAGGACAGCTATAAAGCCTGAACCAGCAACCAGCAGCTCTCAAAAGTGGAGAACTGCTCGTCCTTCTCAAATTACATGAACAAGGCTGGTGTTCCAGTAGGATCTCTGTTTAAGGGGAGTCAGTTTTCCTATTATTTCACGAGGAAGAGTCTTCTGTCGGCTCCTTATCCCAGCAGCTCCTCACTTGAAACTGGTCTTGTTTTTAAGGTCCTATGCACCAGCCTGTGCCTCTCTGTGTGTGCTGGGATGCCCTTAAAACAAGACCGCCAGGGGTTCCAGCGAGAGCTCTTGTGCCAGTAGATTAGTCTACCCCAACAGTGGTGCTGGCTGGGATTGTGAGACTTACACTGTCAGGGAGAGACTGAGTTGGGGAAGGTTGCATTAAATGTTTCCATATCAAGCAAGCACAACAGTGCAAGAGAAGTGTTTGCACTAGGACAGGGAGGGGATGTGTGATGGCAGAAGAGATGATGGCGGCAGACTCTGGAGAGCTTCACTCTGGTTTCCAGTTCAAGCCACACTGCCTCTTTGAAGCTGTCCCATCCCAGCCCTTTCCCTGCCTCCATTGCTTTCCCAGTTGAGTTTCCCTCCAGGTTTACCGGTGAAGCCGTGCCTTTTGAATGGCAGCGTGAAGGAAGGCCTGGGCCAAGTAGTTCAGGGCTAGTGGGGAACAGTTTGACTCATGCTCTCCCACCTTGGTCCCTCACTTCCCCTTCTTCCCCATGGTGCTGATCCATTTCTATTTCCACTCCATTGCTTTGGTCTAGTACGTCTCTTCTTCCTTTCCATTTCTCTGTCTTTCAGTTCCTTTCCCTTCCCTTCAACATGCCAAACCAATTTTGGGTCGAGTGCATTAAACAGAAAAAAAATATATAATGAAAATTTTAAAAATATTTAAAAAAATGGAAACTTGTTGAGTTACAAAAAAAATTAAAATAATAAAGGAAATACAATTTCTTGGAACTCTAGGTGGCTGTGAATTTTTTTTCAGTGTTAATTTGTTCAGCAGAACAAAGCCAAGGATGGTTAAGCCTCTTAACTAACAATTTAATCTAACATAATTCTCCTGGGGGCTCTAAAACAAGCCAAATCCTTGTATCGGTACTGAAATAACGAAGCCTCAGTCAGGGTCATTCATTCTAAGGATGAAACCAACTATTGAACGTAACACTGTTCTAACATGCATGGTTTTTTTAAAAAAAAGGTCTGAGAATAGTCTTGTTTTCCTAGCAACGGCCTGAATTGGCTAAACATATTTTGCTTTGCTTTGTCTGGATAAGAACTGAAAAGTTGACAAGAGTCTGTTCCCATTTCACAGCTTAAAATAGTTGCTGCTGTGATGAAAACAAGAAGTAAGAAGTAGAGAAAGGGACACAACTCACTGGTACAACCCAAACAACAGTTCCCATTTGTTGGATCAGGAAAGGCCTCAGTAGCTTGGTTATTATGCTGCTGATCTAGAAAAATAAAAACCAAACTACTTTAGAAGGGCAACAATTTGGTTTATAATAAGGGAAACCCTGTATTTTTAAAGGAGCCAAACTATCAAAAAAATTCTAGCTCGTGAGATTTCTTTCTATTTTGTTGGGGAGCTGGAGAGAAAGAAAGGCGTCTGCATTGTGAACTCCTGTGGAGGGGGCGTCTCTCCACCATTTTTTCTGCAGGACACCCACAGAAGAACTCGGCATGCCAGGCTAACCACAGCCTGGACCTAGAGGCTGTTGTGCTACCCTTGCCACCCTCTCGAGGAGACCCACTACGATTCTTCATTATCCTCATTGGTTGTGCTCAGGAATGCCCCCTCCATGAGAAGGCTGGGGGTGAGGAGATCCTGGGGCTACTCATTATTAACTCCCGGACTCCTCAGGCATTCTGTCAAAGGGAAGGGATGCTTGGTGTTGTAATTCCAGAATATCTGAAAGGCCTCAGCTTAGGCCTCAGCTGAAAGGCCTCAGCAACTGTGCAAGGAGCTGCTGTGCTGTATTCCACCTATTCCACAATTATCTCTGGAGCCATTTTTCTTTCCCCACAAAGCACGCAGAGCAGCCTCCGCTCTGGCACTGCCTTTGTATGGATTTTAACCTCCTGCTCAGTTCTCTCTGAACAGATTACAAAAAAAAGGAAACCTGGTGTATGTATACTGATTCCCATTCCATTCCGTCTCTTACCTCATGGTGGACTCTTTTCAGGGGAACACACTGAGGATGAGTGTGAAGGAACTGTTAAATGCACTTGGGATACAAACAAAAAACAAAAAACGGAACGAACTGCAGCCAACTTTGCTGCAAGATTCGTGTTTTCTTTTGTATATTTTATGGCATTTTTTATGGAGAAGACAGTTATACAGAATTAAAAACAATGGAAATGCAAAGAAAGAAGGAGAAAAAGGAAAAGAGAAATGATGAGAAGCAGTAAAAGTCCAAAAACAAAGTAGAGAAAAAAGAAAAAAAAGGCAGTGGACTAGAAACAGGATATTGTGCATTCTAGTCTTATTTTAGGCATGAAAGTCAGCAGGGTGATTTCCTCTCCTCTTAGCCCAACTTACCTCACACGACTGTTGTGGGGAAAATAGGAGGAGGAAAGAGTATTAAATATGTTCTCTGCCTTATTTAAAAAAACAAAGTTGGAATAAAAAAAATCTAAGCGAGTACCTTCCGATCTACTCTACAGTGGTTATAAACATGATAGTATTTCCACCCTTCCAGTCTTTTTCCTATAAACAATCCTTTTTTAATTAGTAAATCCCAAGATCATCAGTTCATTTTTATTTATTCTCAACAAAAAATCCATAAACTGTTTCCATCTTTTATCAAAGTAATTATTCCTTCCCCAATAAGATAAATCAATTTAGCCATAAGATTTGTATTCACTGTAGAGTGGCTCAATTCTCACTGGATACTAACCTGCATCTCATTAAACCAAGGTTTACTGAATTAATGTACGGTAATTGGATTCATACACTGAACAATAAACTAAATATGCTGGCTGGATTTACACAATATATTGAGATACAAACTAATCAATCATATTTCAGGGCTTTGGACCATAGTTTAATGTTGTTTATACCGATACCTAGCAACTATTAAAGTATTTTTTAATCCCCTCTGTATTATTTTTATAAATAACTTAAGACAGGGAGCATACATAATACTCTTTCCTATTTTTCCCACAACAATTCTCTAAAGATCACCTAGCTGGATTTCATGCCTAATGTAGGGCTAGAACTCACACTCTCCCAGTTTCTAGGCCACCACCTTAACCATTACACCAAATTGACTCTCCTTGTTAGAAGCTTCTGCATACAAAACACGCAACTTAAACATTGATGCATGATCTGTCTTAGGATAATTAAGTCTCATGCCCTTGAGTCAAGAACCCTCCAAAGACAGAATTATGCTGAGCTCTAATTTGGAGGTAAGCTACATATCCATGATGGAGGTCATAATCTAGACTAGACTTCAGGTCATCTGCCAACCCCTAAATTTTAATACTCTTAAATCTATGTTGTGTGTATACCGATATGGTACACTAATCCCTTCGGATGGCTTGGAGATCTGTTCCGCATAACTTCTACCACCACCTCCTTTTCATGCCACAGACTCATGGGGTAGTTTGACAATGGCACAGAATGGAGCTCTGAGTCACATGCTTAAATTCTCCACTGATTTAGACAATGTTCAAGACAGAATCTGTGGTTGTAATAATAATGGCAATCATGACAGTAGATCTAGCAGTGATCATGGTATTATTGGTGTTACTGCTTTTGCCACAATATGTTCTCTGTGGTTCTGGCCTTGTAAAGCATCTTTGTATTGTAAGGAACAAGCTTCATTTTACCTTGCAGGTGATGATCAAAAGGGAATTTATTGAGGTGTATTCAGCAGGTTCTGACCAGTTCTGGAGAACTGGTAGTGGAAATTTTGAGTAGTTCAGAGAACTGACAAATGCCACCTCTGACTGGCCCCTTCCCCATCTATTCTCTGCCTCCTGAGTCCCAACTGATCGGCTGGGTCTTCTTTTGTTGCCCTGCACAGGAGAACAGAGCTGGAAAGCAGGTTAGTGGGGTGGGGTGGGAAGGGAATGGGATTTTGCAGTAACCTTCTCCCAGGAGTGGGGAGGGAATGGGGATTTTTCAGTATCCTTCCCCTGCACACCCACCAAGCCATGCCCACAGAACCGGTAGTAAAAAAAATTGAATCCCACCAATGAAATTATTCTATGATAATGCAGCTGATGTAAACGCAGCTGTAAGAAGGAATGGGACACAGGCAATTCTCACCACTTCATTAAAAGGTTGCACTTCAGTTTCTTCTTAAAACATTTTAAAAGCTGCAAGGCAGCCTTTCTGTGCCATTCAGACACATTGAACTACAACTCTTATAGTCTTGAGCCAGCATAGCTATTTGCTGAGGCGATGGCCGCTGTGGTCCAATCAATCTGGAGGGTACTAAGCTGAAAAAAGATATATTTCCTTCCTTCCCTTTTTCCTCCTTACAAGCTACTTTCCTGCTTTCCCACACAAGAGAAAAAACCACCTTGAAGTGCATGGAGAGAAATGAAGATTGCATTGTGGGTAGCAAATTATCTAGCATTTTGACCCTGAGTCAAATATGAATTACATTACACCTCCTCACCTGCATTCATAATGAGCAAATAGTGCACAAGATCCTATCATTGATGTCTCAGTCTCATCTGAAATTCACTGCAGCAAAGAGAGTATTCATGTTGGCTAAACTGCCAATATCCTAAATCTTTATGTAGTTGGGATTTGGCCAGGATATCATTCCCTACTGGCTTGTGATTAAAAAGAATGCAGCTACTATATTCTGTTTGTAGTGAATGCTAATGAAGATAAGCATGCTTACTGCAAGTTGGAAAAATGAGGTTTTTTAGTTTAGCTACAATTCTATTCTGCCACTCTTCATATAAATATCCACTGAGCATGCACACAAAAAAACACACAGAAGTTTTTAAAAAACAAGGACATGAATATGCAGTGAGATAAAACAAGATGCAGACACATGAAATTTAAAATAAACGAAACTTAGCCATACGGCCTATGGATGAATTATATTTGGGAACAATGTTGAGTTTTGTGAATTGACCTAAGGTCAAAGGATATTTGCCATCCTGGATGATGATGATGATGATGATGATGATGATAATATCTAATCAGTCAGACATGACTGACTGTGCTCTGGCCGGTGTTAGCTTTGATGATGTCTGGCCACCATGTTCTTTGACAGCCTGCTTTCTTTTTACTGCTAACTCTTCAAAGCATAATTGCTTTCTCCAATGAATTCCGCCCGCATGACATGGCCAAAATAAGCGAAACACAGTTTTGTGGTTTTTGCCTGCAGAATTTCAGATATTTGTTAACATTTTCTTTCCGTTCTTGGTAAAACAGACAGGCCTACTGACTTTTATAGGGGAACTATAATAAAGGTATTTGTCTATAAAGTCATACCCAGAATCAAATGGAATAAAACTTTCACAACATGACCTGTCTACAACATGGTGGGAGTAAATCACATGCTCTGGAAAGTGTACATGCAATGCACCTTTAGAGTTGTATTGTCATTCTTTGGCATAACCAATGGCTCCTTGTAAGGAAACATCAAATGATCTGGATTCAGTCCCTGAATTGTTTCTCTCTTAATAAAATACTTTTTAAAAACATATCCACCCACACATCCATGCTGAATTCTTATTAGCCAGGACGTTAAATCAGAAAGATCAGTTACCTTTCCGCTAAGCTATAAAATTTTAGAAGGAGCTAAGAACACAAATACAAGTTTATGGGCAGCATTTTCCTCTATAACTTTTGTGTTGAAATGCTGAACTTCTTTCTTAAATTAGCACCATAATTCTTCCTGGCTTTAAAAATAAAGAGGGAGCATGTGTTACAAGTTGCTGGCCACAAACATTCAAGCATCCTCATGGCAGATGG